GGCCCGGCGGCCCGGTGGGGCGCTCCGGGGTGTGCCCGGGGAGCGGGGGGACCGGCTCTGGGGGTCGGGACCGGGGCCGTGACGGCGGCGCTCCCTGTCTGGGCAGGTGCTGGAGCGCTCCCGGGATGTGGTGGACGAGGTCAGCGTCTCCCTGCGCCTCTGGGACACATTTGGGGACCACCACAAGGACCGGCGCTTCGCCTACGGCAGGTGGGGACCATGAGTGCTCTGACCCCCGCCAACGGCACCCCGAGCCCTGTCACCGGCACCTCCACCCACCGCTGTCACCCTGAGCACCGGCACTAGCACCTCCACCCACCATTGTCACCGCGAGCCCTGCCACCAACACCCCAATCCCTGTCATTGCTACCCCCACCCACCGCCAGCACCCTGATCCCTGTCACTAGCACCCCCACCCCCCGGCCCTGCCCGACCCTGGGGGACATGAAGCACAAGGGGCCCCTTGGGCTTCTGCCAGCACCCAAAGAGCAGATTGGCACCCCAGACCCTCGGGGGGGGCCTGGGAGTGTCCCCACCCCCCTGGCCGAGGGACTGATTTTGGGCACCCTGGGGGCATCGTGGCTCCAGCTCAAGCAGCAGCAGGGCTCCAGATCCCCCATAGCCCCCCACCCTGGGCAATGGGAGCCCTGGGTGCTCGTGGCTTCCCTGGAGGGACAGCTGGCATCACCCGTGTCGGGGCTGCCTGTTTGGGGTAGGGAGGAGGCTCTGGGCTGCCTGAAGTCCCCACCTTCCCGGGGAGGGGCTTGAGAGGTGCAGACCCTGGGTGGGGGTCACATCCCTGCAGGAGCTGTGGCCCCTATGCTGTGGGGCAGAGCCAGCAGCCCTTTCAGCCGAGCAGGGGGTGCCTGACCCCACAGAGGGTCCCCAGGGGTGGGGCCCTCCTTGTGGGCCGCCGTCTCAGCAGTGGGAGAAGTCCACAGGCCATGGCTGAGTGGTCACTGGCCCTCTGGCTCCCCCCCCGCTCCCCGGGCTGTAAACACCTCCCTTTCCCCGTGGCCGCTGGCACGTCCAGGCTCTTATCGCCCGCCGCACCGTGCCAGCACCGCTCCGCGTGCTCTAATCTCCCCTCCGCATTGCCTGGGGCCAGGGGCCATGGTGGCCCCTCGGGCTGGGGGCACCCCTGGCCAGGGGATATGCGTGGCTGCCCCAGCCCAGGGTGCCCGAGGTGCTCGGTGTTGCCCGCCCCACCGGGGCTGCCACCGCCTCCCACCCTGCGGGGTGGTGGGTGCCGGGTCCCTGCCCCGGCCGGCATCGCCTGTGGGTGAGCGGCGGCTCCCGTGCTGGCCAGGGGCCCTGCGGGAGGCGGCGGGTGGCATCTATCTTGGTCCCTGACACGGGCCCGTCTCCAAACGCGCCTCCTGGTCACGTCTCGGCAAGGCACAGACTAAAAACAAACCAGGTCTGGGGACACGTGGCTGCTCCCGGCCGCCTTATAAGGCCCCAGGGGCTGTGGGGACCTGGGCGCTGCTGGCACCTCCTGCCTGTCCCCTGTCACCTTGCCCGGGGAAGCTCCCTGGAGCCACTGGCAGTGCCGGCGCAGGGCTGGGATGATGGGGACAGTGTGACAGCCCCATACCGGGCACAGGGAAGGGGCTGGGGGTGTCCGGGCAGGGTCCCTACAGTCCAGTGCTTGCCCAGCCGCTCTCTGTGGGCTGCTCCTCGCACCTGCTTGTGTTTGGCCACTACCTCAAAGCTCTGTGGGGTGTTTCTGGGGCCAGCACAAGCCCTGCTGTGCCGTGCCGGTCCTGTGCTGTACCCAAGCCAGGATAACCCTGGACCATGGTGACCCAGAGCCCTCAGCTGCCTCCTTGGTCATGGCTGCTCCTGTGTGTGGCTGTGGGGCTCCCCATGGCTGTGGGGCAGAGCCCTGCTGAGGCAGGCACAGGGTCCTGATGTGGGGGCAGCCAGCTCCAACGACGGGTGCCCCTGGACAGGGATGGGACCCCAGTGCCGTTCCCCGAGGAAGAGGAGGTGCAGGGGGTGGCCTGGGGTCACAGGGTGACAGCAAGTCACATAGGGGTTGGGCTTCCTTCACCCTCCTCCTTCTCCACTTCCTCCTCCCGTACGCAGGTCGGATGTGGTTGTCCTCTGCTTCTCGCTGGCGAACCCAAACTCCCTGCGCCACGTGAAGACAATGTGGTACCCTGAGATCAAGCACTTCTGTCCCCGGACGCCCATTGTGCTGGTGGGCTGCCAGCTGGACCTGCGCTACGCTGACCTGGAGGCCGTCAACCGTGCCCGCCGCCCCTTGGCCAAGTGAGGCTGCTGCACTTGCTGTACTGGGCGGGTGGGGGGTGGCGGCGCTGGGGGTCCGGCTGGGGACTGGGCCCCTCCATGCGCAGTGACACGGCCTCTCTTTGTGTGTCCCCCCCGACCAGGCCCATCAAGCCCACAGACATCCTGCCCCCAGAGCGGGGACACGAGGTGGCCAAGGAGCTGGGTGTGCCCTACTACGAGACCAGCGTGGTGGCCCAGTTCGGCATCAAGGACGTCTTCGACAACGCCATCCGGGCCGCCCTCATCTCCCGCCGGCACCTCCAGTTCTGGAAGTCCCACCTGAAGAAGATGCAGCGGCCTCTGCTGCAGGCCCCCTTCCTGCCCCCCAAGCCCCCACCACCCGTCATCCAGGTCCCCGACCCCCCGGCCAGCCGCGGCTGGGGCCCCGCCGCCCTCTTCTGCACCCCGCTCTGCGCCGACGTCGTCTTCCAGCTGCAGGGTGGCCAGCGGGTCTTTGCCCACCGCGTCTACCTGGCCACCTCCTGCTCCAAGTTCTACGACCTCTTCACCCTGGAGGGGCCGCGGGGGGCATCCAAGGAGCCGGCCGCCCGCACCAAGAGCCTGGACGGGGAGCGGGGTGTCCTGGCTGAGGGGGCACGTGCCCCGCTGCGGACTTCGCAGAGCGACGATGCCCTGCGGCCGGCGGCGGGGGACGGCACGGCACCTGGTGGCGGTGGCAGCCACGACCTGTCGGCCTGGGGCCGTGGCTTCGTCAGCATGCGCTGGGAGCTGGTGGCTGACCCGGTGGCAGGGCGGGAGAAGCGGATGGCGGTGGTGTGCATGGACCAGCGGGTGCAGGCGGAGCCCTTCCGCGCCGTGCTGGAGTACCTCTACACCGGGCGGCTGGACCAGACCCGCAGCGACCTGATGCAGGTGGCCACCATTGCTGAGCTTCTGGAGGTCTTCGACCTGCGCATGATGGTGGCCAACGTGCTCAACAAGGAGAGCTTCATGAACCAGGAGATCACCAAGGCCTTCCATGTGCGCCGCGCCAACCGCATCAAGGAGTGCCTGGGGAAGGGGGTCTTCGCAGGTAGGGGGGGTCTCTGGCCAGGGAGGGGGAACAGAGGAAGGGCTGTGGGGGCTGCCTTGGTCAGGGACATCACCCAGTATCTTCCTTCCCCTCCAGGCAGGAGTCCCGGCTCCTAGAGTGCTCTGCGGGGACACAGTGATCCCCCTTCCTCCCTCCGCCATGGCCATTGTGGTCTGGGGTCCCACAGCCCTCATCCCTTCCCCACGCTGTCCCCAACAGACATGTGGCAGTGACACGACCCCTGGGCTGGGTCAGCCATAGGAGAGGCTGCAAGCAGTGCCTGGGGTGTGTGTCCCTGGCCCGGTTGTGGCAGGGGCTGATGTGGCTGAGGGGCACCTGTCCCCACGCTGAGGCCATCTCCTTGCCCTCCCAGATGTGGTTTTCCGTGTGGATGATGGGTCCGTGCCGGCGCACAAACCCCTGCTCATCGCCGGCTGCGACTGGATGATGGCCATGTTCCGGGGGGCTTTCCGGGAGAGCTACGCTGCCGAGGTGAGGGGCTGTGGGAAGGGGACAGGGACGGTGGGAGGGATGTCCCTACCAGCTGTGCCACGAGACTGCTGGGAGGATGGGAATCCCTTGGCAGCGCCAGCTCTGCTCAGCTGGCCCAGCCCCCCTGGGCTTGGCACGCGTGAGTCTGGCTTTCCTTCTTGCTGGAGAGAAAACAGGATGCCATGTCGGGCTTGGGGGGGTGGTGGGGGCAGGGCAAGGGGGTCCATTCTCCAGCAGCTGATGGTTCTGTGTGCCAGGCTGCCCCCCAACACCCCCCACCAAACCCCCTGTCCCGCAGGTCTCCCTGCCCGGCACCAACTGCGCCTGCCTGCGCGCTGTCCTCGACTTCCTCTACACCGGCGTCTTCACCCCCACGCCCGACCTGGATGCCATGGAGCTCCTCATCCTCACCAACCGCCTCTGCCTGCCCCGGCTGCAGAGATGGTGGGGGGCGGGGGGGGGGGTGTTGCCGTGCCACCCTCTGACGCCACCGGTGTGCCGTGTCCCCACAGAGAACCAGGCGCACTTCGAGCGGCACCGCTGGCCGCCGGTGTGGTACCTGAAGGAGGAGGACCTGTACCTGCGCTCCAAGAAGGAGCGGGAGCGGGAGGAGCAGCTGCAGCGCAAGCAGCACACCCGCAGCAAGTGGTGCTTCTGGCGGCCATCGCCCCACGTCTCCTGAGCCGGGGTGGGGGGCATGGCCGGGTTGGGGGGTCGCCTGCTCGGCCCCTCTCCCTGCCGAGGGCTGCCTCCCCCCGGCCACTGCCCGTTTACACCCCCCCAACCCCGGCTGTTTACAGGCGCTGCCGGCCACCGCTCGCTGGGTGATGGCCTGTCCTCCCCGCTGTCCCACCGTGCCTTTCCCCGGCGCGGGAGCGGGGCTGGCCATGCTGAGCCGTGCTGTGCCATGCCGTGCCATGCCGGCAGGGCCCCCTCCGCCCCAGCCAACGCTGGTGCTACCTCTGACCAAGCAGTATTGTGGGGCTGGGGGTGGGCAAGGAGCTGGGGGCTCTGCTGGCCTCCTCCTCCTCCGGAGGGGCTTCCCCCCTACCCCGTGCCGGGCGTTCCCCCGGGAAGGGCTCTCTGGTGCTGTATTTCCCCCCCGCTCCGACGGAGGTGGGTGGGGGGCCAAGCTGTGAGTGGGGCGCAGGGCGGGAGGGTGGGGTGGGTATAGGGGTCGCTGGGTGCTTGTGTGGCTGTAGGAGCTGCTCCTGCCTGGGGGGAGGGCAGCTCGCTCCCCCTCCCTCCCCCCCAGCTCATCTCTGTGCCTTGGACATGCCCCTGCAAGGGTATGGGCCGTGTCCCAGTGTTGAGGGCTATCATCCCCGGCCTGGGGGGTCCCAGGGTCCCTGGGTTGAACTGCACAACTGTTTTTACACTTTTTTTACCCCCACCCCACGAGCACACCGGCCCTCGGGCCCCCCCCAGCCGCCCCAGCACTGTGAGTGGGGCTGCCCATGCCTCTCAGCATCGGCGTTTTTAACCTTTAATAAAGCCTTTTGTAACGGGCCCGGACTCTGCTCTTCTTCCCACCCCAACCCCGCAGTGCTTGGCCATCACCTGCCCAGCACTTACCTCCCCCCCGGCAAGAAGGAGTGACACAGGGTGAGGCTTCATTCAAGTGTTTTTATCATGGGTGGGGAGTACATGGCCAATGGGGGTGGGGAACAGGAGTGTGGGGTCCTGACCCATAGCTGAAATGGGGAATAGCACGTGGCGGGGGACTGACCCTTACCTGAGAGGGCGCAGGGAGGATGTCTTTTGGGGAAACATGACTGGGGCACACGATCTGTGCCCCATAGCCTGGGGTTGGGCAGCACAGGGGGAGCTGGAGCCCTGGCTGCAGCCTTCACTCCAGCATAGCTGGAGGGGCTTGGGGGGCAGCCTCTGGCCGGCAGCTCTTTCCCCTTCTCCCAGGGCCTGTCCTGGGCTGGGTTCACCCCACGGCACCGGGGCTGGGGCCCTCCATGCACCCCCATCTCCGCAGGGCCCTGGGAGCAGAGCCAGAGGCCAAGCTCGTCCCTGGGGCCACATTAGCTCCTGGCCGGGGGAAGGGACGGGACAGGAGGGCTGGGGCAGGGCAACCCCTGGGGGAAGGGACTGAGGCAGAGCCAGGGGGAAGGCCAGCTGGGGGGGACACAGGGCGAGAATGGGGGGACAGAGCAGGGGGACAGCACGGCAGCAGCGTGGGACTGTCCCTGGACTGTCCTGGCAGCGAGCACAGTGCAGCTGCCTCTGCCATTTGCAGCCCAGGAGAACAGCTGCGACCCCACACATCTGGCCAGCAGCCTTGGGGATGCAAAGTCCCACGGGGACCTGCATGTCCCCACGGCACCCTGAGGAGAAGAGGCTCCTCTCCTCCTTCCAGGTAACTCTGCTGCCCCAGGGGAGGGTGGCTCCACGGGTGCTGCACCCACGAGGCACCACCGCCCTGGCTGGGACCGGCTCCTGAGGCTCCCCCGGCCGGAGCAGCGTGTCACACAGGTTTGCCCTGGAACCTCTCCCGTCTGAACCAGAGCTGCTGCTGGGAAGAGGGGAGCCGGTTCTGTTCCCAGCCACGCTGCCTCTGCTGCCTCCTTCCCTCCAGGAAGGGCTGGAGGGGCAGGCGGGAGGACAACGCCTGGCCCAAGGGACCCACAGGGCTGGTCCTGTGTAGCCAGAGCAGCTCCAAGCCCACGTTCCCCGTGCACAGACATGCCACGCCGAGAGCAGGTTTGCTCTGGGAGCAAGGGGATCCTAACTCAGCTCCACCTACACACAGATTTCCACCCTACTGGGGGCACAAGCCCTGTGCCTTTGCTGCTCAGGCCCCATGGAGCAAAAGCTGGGGGAGCTGTGCTGACCCCCCCTTGCTTACAGTGCCTCAGCTCGCAGCCTACGCCCGTCCGTAGCGGAATATCTCGCTCAGGTCATAGCCAGTCACGGCGAAGGAGTTTCCCTCGGGGTCACAGAAGCGGGCACCACAGACCTGGGTGTCTGTCACACACTCGGCATGGCAGTGCTCGATCTGCAGTGAGGAGAAGAGAGCCAGAATGGTGGCACAGGCTGAGTAACGTACAACCCACCACAGCCAGAAGCCCAGGGACCTGCCTCAGGTCCCTGCCCACCTGCAGAGGTATTATCTCATGGCAACAGGCAAGCAAGGGACCATGGGCATGTGGCTGGGACAGTGGGCCATGGCTTGAGCTTGCTATTTCAGGAGCACAGGAACCATATCCTGGTCAGACAGAGCAGTACCTCCACCAGTCCAGGACAGGACTGGGGATCACAAGCAGGAGGAAAGAGGAGAGCTGTGCTGCGCCGTGGCAGCTCAGACTGGGCCCAGCTGGGTTTCCACCGAGCAGTGAGCCCCTCTCTGTGGCCATGGTGCCTTACCAGAGGCTGTACGACAGAGCAGCACCTGTGCCACAGCCCCATGGGGCAGTGACAGCTTGGAGCACTGTGTACTTGCCATATGCTCCTTGCTGAGGGCGGCTGCTGCGCAGACTCACCTCAACATCGTCAGTGTCCAGGTTCCTGCTGAGCTTCCAGACATGAACAAAGGAGTCCTCTGCACCTGACAGCAGCTGCAAAGGGAGCGGGACAGAGACTGTGAGGAACGGGAGGCTGGAGGGATGCCACAGGGGCATGGGGCAATGGGGCAGCCCCTGCCTGGCCATCCACAGGCTGCCACTCTCCTGGCTGGTGGGATGCTTCACACAGACCAGGTTGCCACACCACAAGCCAGCCATACCTTTCCTGTCTCCGGCGCCAGGTCCAGTGCGTAGATCCATCGAGCGTGAGCATTGACCTCAGCACGCAGGAGGCCCGTTGCCGCCTCGTATAGCCGAATCTGCCCGTTTCCATAGCCAGCAGCCACGACCCCGTTCCACAGCTTCACGGAGGAGCAGGTGCAGCTGGACACAGGGGCACATTTCACCTCCTCCCTTCTCGGCTGCAGACCCGCATGCCAGGGGCTGGTGTTGGGTGTCCCACTCCTGCCACCCTCCCTTCCCTCGTGAGACACCGATGCCGTCTGGCTGGGGATGTCCAACACCACCCACCAACAGGACCCCGCTGTGTCACTCCGTTCGTTCCTCAGGCTTACCCAAAGGCTGGGATTTTGCTGACCAGGGTGAACTCCTCTCCTGCGCTCCAGACACAGAGGGTCCCAGCATCATCGGCGGTCACCAGGTCACCAGCCCCATCCTGTGAAGCAGAGGGGAGTCAGCATCCGCCCTGGCACCACTCATGGGGCAGCCAGCTCCACCTGGCACCACTCATGGGGCAGCCAGCTCCGCCGCCGGCACTGAGCAGCTGACTCACACCAGGCAGAAGGTTTTTGCTGCCCCAGTTGCCCGTGCTGCTAAAGTTGCTGCAAAGCAAAGCCAGAGCCTGCAGCAGAACAAGCTTAAAGTTTAACAGCTCACAGAAACTGCTGACACGTTTTGTGAACAAGCAAGGCTGGGCTGGGATCACACACGGGCATTTCAGTTTAAACATGTTCGTGTTTGGCAATGCTAATTACACATAGGATAAAAAAAAAAAAATATCTAGAAAGAATTACTGCATCCCCTCCCCTCCCTCTGTGCCCAAGTCTCGACTCTCTTCACCTGACAGGCACCTGGGATTTCACAGGCCAGGCCCCGTCTCCCACTGACTCAAAAGCCTTTAACAAACCATGGTGCAGAGTCCAAGAGAGGCACATTAGAGGACAGTCACTGCAGGCAGGGGTAGATGACAGAACAGCTTTCACGTAAACAAGCTCCATATCCAGGCTAATTGGAAACTAGTTCTAAGCAATTAATTGTTCAGGGGAGTCCCAAACGCAGAGAAAGTTAAATGTAACTAATTAGAGAAAGTATAAGAAAGTGTCCTCGTTAGGAAGAAAGCAGCCAATAATGAAGAAGCCAATTAGCACGTCTGCAAAGATGTTGACCAGAGTGAGCTGAACCGAAGGAAGCCCCATCCCAGTCCCAGACTGTGCTCTGTAATCAGGTGAAGTTCTCTCATCTCCCACGAGAAAGGTCACCAGTACCACCGACAGCTCGGGTCGGTTATGTTCCTCCACTGGCAAGGGGGAAAGGCTCATCCTTTCAGCTAGTGCGAAGGCACAGCTCTGACCTCAGCTTCCTCGTCCCCCTAGACACCAGCACCCTGGGCCTGGCTTGGGGAGGAGAAGCAGGGTCCTGTACCAGCAGCCAGTATCCTGGGATGGCTCCAGAGACATGGGCAGGACATGTCCTGTGCCCTCCTCTCACTGCACTCCTGCACGGAGGGTCTGCTGCAGTAACTTGATGCTCTAATGGTGGGAGCTTTAATTTTAGCGTGGGTTTATTCATGGCCAATTTTGTTCATTTGCTCTTGTACCACAACTGGACTTTAGCTTCAATAGCTCTTCTGTGCTCCAGCATGCACCCCGAAGATCACGGGATACTCCGGGCTGGGAATGAGCTGCGCTCCCACAGCCTCGCTGTGTGTGTGGGGATCACCTCCTTCACCACCTTTGTTGCCCCTCTCTGCTCCAGCAGTTGAGTTCCCAGAGCCTGGGTAACCAGGACTGAGATTCAGTTGAGAAATGTGGAGACCAAGGTGCTAAGGAGGCAGAGATCAGCTGAACACTGATGGGAACTGGGATGGTGGGATAACGGATGGGGTGGCTACTCCCAGCTGCCTGGAAATCAATGGAAATAGCCTTGAAATACCACAGTGGACGAGTGCAGTGTTTTAAACTACATTTGACTCCAGTTTGCCTTGTCTCAAGACGCCATGCTAAGCGACAGTAGGATGGCTCACAGGCTCTTTGGAGTGTGTGCTGAGGAACTGGCCATCCCAAGCCACCTCCTCTCCCAGATGTATCCCAATCTGATGTGGGAGATCCCCCTCTGGCAGAGACAGCCACAAAAGCCCACGTCCCTGGCAAGGAGAGGGAAGGCAGAGCCACCTACTCTCCTGCGCTGTGGAGAACAGCCAGCTCTGGGGCAGCTCTGCCACATCACAGCCTCCCCAGACCTTGCCTGCAGCGGGTATTGGGCTGCCTGCACCTTGGGATCGGCTCAGCCACAGCCAGGGCCTGGGTAAACCTCAGCTTCCCAGAGCTGACACCTGCAAGGTGTTCCTGAGACAGCCGTGGGGCGGAGGGGACAGCTGAAGTCCCCACTGCCTGCCCTCCCTGGCACCAGGGACCCCACCGGCTCCTGTGGCCCACGTGGCTGCCAGCAGTGCTGACCCCACGCATACCGGAGCCTGGCCCAGCTCCGCCGCGATGTCGGTGATGGCGTCGCGGTGCTGCTCCAGGACCTCGCTCACTGTGATGTTCGTCCCTTTGGGGGGGATGTCAAACACCAGCACCACTCCAGAGGATGTCCCTGCAGATGAGATGGAGGAGGCATCACCATGGGCTCGTCCCACTCCAGCCTGGGAGCGAGCCTCCAGCTCTCACCATGCTCTCACGACCACGCAGCCGTGCTCCTCACGCCCCACAAGACCCGCTGCCTACGTGGGGTTGCTCCTGAGAGTCACTGCTCTCAGACCTGCCCCTCTGTTCGGCACAGAAGCTCCAACAGAGCAGCTCCAAGGCCAACCCAGCCCCTTCAGCTGATTGCATCATTACACCGTCCCTGGGCTCCAGTGACATCCACCCCCAGCGCCACCCTCCCTTCTTGTCCTTCCCCAAACTCCCAGGTCTGGCTCACCCACACAGATGAAGCGCCCGCCAGCTGCAGCGATCCCTCGAGCAAACACTGCTTGTCCTGAAAGGAAACCAAGAGCTGATCATGACCTGTGGCAGCTCCAAAGATCTGCAACACCGGTGCAGTGGTGTGAGACACCAGGGTGTCCATTCGAGTTCCATCTTTAGGGCTAGTCCTGTAGCTGCCACACTGGGTCCCTACAAGCCCCTTTTGCAGCTCCCTCAGGCCCCTGTTGAGGCAGGATAGAGGAGTCAGGGTGATGCTATGACCTCTCCCAGACCCTTCTGCTAAGCTGCTGTGAAGGACTGTGCTGGCTCAATCCTAACTGGGTCCAGGAGCAAGGCTGCTGGGGGTCTCCAGGCCAGGAGCGACTGGGCTGCACTACAGGAATCACACACATCCGAGAAAGAAGAGCAGGCAGAAGGTCTGAGAGAGGTCTGGGAGGCTCCTCACTGTGCAATTTACCTGGAGGATGCTCCGTGACGTCCAGTGCATGCCAATAAACCATGATGGAGCCATCGGACTCGTACATCTGGAGAGAGAAAGCAACAGGGTAAGACCAAGACAGCAGCAAAGTTTCTCTTATGGCTTCAGGCTCAACTGCTGCCCTAAGAGGCCTCCAAGAGAGAGTGACAGCTCTCTGGATGCGCAGCAGGACCTCCAGAAGGTTCTCCCATGTCTCTAGCAGCCCAGTTGTCCTTACAGCAAGCTCATCCTCCCAGCGCTGTGACTTCGCTTCTCACCCTCAGCGGAAAAAAACCTCACCTGGATCCCCTTCTGAGAGGTCAGCACCAGCAGGACCCGGGATGGCAGGACACACCAAGCAGCCTGGAAGGAAAGGCAGCTCAGCAGGAGTCCAGGGAGGGAAGACAGGGCAAAAGCCCTCCCTACCTTCCAGGGGAGGGACAGCCTGCAGCCACCCACAGAGGTGTGCGTGTTTCTGGCTCCTCTCATGGGTAACAGAATATGGGGCCCTTGGGGACCTCTCCAAGGTCTCACAAACCTTTTTGGGAGGCTCCTTCCCCCTCTCCCTACCTGTAATTAGGACCCTGTAGACTACTGCATCTGTCCCGGTGGCTCTATAGCCACACACACTCAGCTAGGAAGGCCCTTCCTCTACTCTCTGTACCTCCACTGACTCTTCCCTGTGCTTGGCAGTTGGCCCGTTTGGGCCTTGTGGTCAATGGGTCTCATCTGCCCAGGTCAGAGCAGACTGGCACTAAAGCACAGACCTCTGCTTAGGCCAACGCACCCTGCAGAGGAGAGCATCGTCCTCATTGGGGCACAGAAAGCGAAAGCAAAGACCGAGAGATGATGTCATGGCAAACGCCAAGCATCCCTTGTACTACCCCCGTCCTGCTCCCACCAGTGCCTGTGAAGCCACTGGCAGCACTGCGCTCCCTCCACCCAGCGCCCGCACTCCACGCTGCTGCCCCTCCCTGTCACCTCCTCTGCAGTCACGCTGGGAGCCATTTATTGGCTTACGGGGTTGCTCTGGCTCCACTTTGGAAGCAGTGGAGCACTCCTTATGGCCCAGGCTGTGGAGCCTGCTTCCCGCTAGGCTGTTAGGGGAGCAGAGCTGTCTAAACAGTCTCTGCATGTCACAGCCCTCCTGGTGATGGAAGGGTGGCAGCACCAAGAGGGCAACTCATGATCCTGCCAGCTCGCTCTCCCCACAGGAGGCTCTGCCAGGCGGGACCTGAGCCGTACAACCCAGCACCGAGGACCTGGTGGCCCAAGAAGAGGTGCGGACATGCTGCCTCTACCTGGGTGAGGATGGAGGTGCTGACAGCCATCCCACCCTCCTTCGCCTGCAGCTGGCGGTGGGAGAAACCGAGTCCATCGGCGGCGGCGGTGACCACGTTGACGCTGGGGCCGTGCACGGCGCTGAAGCAGGCCAGCTGCCTGCCGGGCAGGCGCAGGACGCTCAGGTTGTTGTACAGCGCCGCGCTGCTGCTCTTCAGCTGGATGCTCTTCTCCTTGCGGTACATCCTGCGGGGGACGGGGCAGCTCCAGCGACACACGGCACCGGGGAAGCTCCAGAGACACCGGGAGAGCACCCCCAGGACACCGGCCGCGCAAACA